GCTGGCGTTTGCAGCGCGGCTGACAGGCAAGGGGATTCAAGCAATGGGAGAGCTAGGGTTTGCAGAGATAGGGGATAAGGCGTACGCTAGCTAGCTTAGAAAGGGGCACAAGTCAGAGATGTGGGGGCAGATGTTTAGCAACGCAATGGCATTAGCAATTAAGGTAGTAGTAGAGGGGTAGGTAGTAGGGGCATAATTAGGGTTAATAAATAGAAGATAAAAGACAAGGTTAAGTTAGAAAAAGGAGATTAATAAAAATATAATAAAGGTAGAAGAGTTAATGAAGAGAAATAGAAGGAGTATAGAAGAAGTAAAGATAAGAGAAGAAGAATAGAGAAATAAAGCAAGAGGTAAATAAATAGATTATAACCTGTTTTATCAGTGAGCGCCCCACCTCAGTGAGCGCCCCACGAACACCAGCAAAGCGCATGCGCGACACTCAACGCGTAATGTCTCAACAACCACAACCTCACAAGCCCTATACTGAAGCTGACGTGCAGCTTGCCCTCTCTGACATTAAATGCGACCAGATTACGAGCCTGCGACGTGCTGAGGCAGTCTACAGTGTTCCTTGTAGGACGATACAACAACAACGTGACAGGAAGCCCTCTAGACGCAACTGCGAGCCCAGATTAAAGCGCCTGACAAAGCTAGAAGAGGAGGTAATTCTGCAGTGTATACTTGACGAGAACCTACGTAGAGTACCGCCCTTAAAGCTACACGTACAAGATATGGCTGATAGACTGCTGCGCGACTGCGGCGGTGAGCCTGTTGGTAAATGCTAGGTTGACAGGTTTATTAAGCGTACACCTAAGCTGTGCACGCGCTAGACTCGTCTATACAATTACCAGCGAGCTCTCTGCGAAGACCTAGCGATTATTAAGCCCTAGTTCACGCTAGTTTAGAATATAAAGGCGAAGTATAGTATTATAGACAATAATATATATAACTTTAACAAGTCTAGCTTCCTAATAGGCAAGATATCTTTACAACTTATTATAACAGGCATAGAGAAACCTAGGAAAGTAAAGAAGCTTTAGCCTAGTAATTGTAAGTAGACTATGTTAATACAGGGCATTAGCGCAATAGGGTGTGTTATCCTACCCTTCCTTATCTTTGCTAGCAAGGTTCTTATCTCTAACTAGTTTACTAAGGACCTCCTACGCAATTAGGTTATTTAAGTAAGCCTAACAGGCTAGACAAACAACAATCTAGCGCTTGCCTGGCTTAATTACTTTAATACGCATGCAAGGTCTGTAGGAGCGTATAGGCTGCTAATTATTAACAGCCACAAGAGCTATTACTTAATAGATTTCTAGGATTGCTGCAAGGAGAAGAAGATTATTGCCCTCTATATGCCTCTACACTTGTCACACCTCCTGCAGCCGCTTAACGTCACCTGTTTCTCGCCATTAAAGCGCGCGTATAGTGATTAGATCTTAGCCTTAGCACGCAATTGCATTAACTACATCAGCAAACAGACCTTCTTACTAGCCTTTAAAGTAGCTTTTAAGAAGGTGTTTACAAGAGAGAATGCTTGCGCAGGGTTTTAAGGCGCTGGATTGTCTCTACATAATCTACAGGCTGTGTTATTAAAGCTAGATGTACAGCTGCGTACGCAAACTCCACCACAGCAAGTTAACGCTGCTTAGGAGGCGAAAACACCACGCAACGCTAAAGAAATAGAGGCGCAATTAACACTAGTTTAAAACAGGATAAAAATCTATTAAGGGTCTCTAGCAAGTTTACTTAATAAGCAGGTGCAGCAGCTAACAAAAGGCGCGTAGTAGATAGCTTATAAGATAGTGTTAATGCACGCAGAGATAGTGCGCCTTAATACTACTACTAAAGTAGCAACAAAGTATAAAAGTCGCAAGAGACGCTACATACAGGCAGAGGAGACATTAACAGTTAGCAAGGTATTAGACTTAATTACTAAAAGGGAGGGTGGCAGATGTGAGGAGGGTAAGGAGCTGGCAAAGAGGGTGCGCGCAGGGCGACGCTGCGGCTGTTGTGGTGAGATTAGGCACAACTCTTGCACCTGCAAGGTAGAAATTAAGGATATAAATAACAGCAACGCTTCTAAATAATACTATACTGTTGCAAGAGTACAAAATTTGTGTTGTGGTGCTAAGCTATGTCGCTGCGCGTACGCCTCGCTGGTGTTCGTGGGGCGCTCACTGAGGTGGGGCGCTCACTGATAAAACAGGTTATTAAGAAAGAAGAGTAAGAAACTAAAGAGCTCTAAACAACTTGAGTAGTTAAGTTAAAGGGTGGGCGGTGGGCCCTCCAGGTGTCACAAAGAAGCGGAGCGCAGTGGTAAAGAAGAAAGGGG